TAGAGATTTAACAGAACATGACTAGGCCTTTTTATCCTGTGGTATCCCTGGGAGGCTTCGAACCACCACACCAGTCTTTAAGGTTAGCCATCAAGTGCAAGCTATTTGCATCACTAGGGATCTTAAACCTTTGTGGTGGTGGTGGTGGTGTTAAATGCCTCCGACACATAGCAGTCCTGTATAGGGTTTCTGAGGAATGACTGACGAGTTTGAATCCCTGACCTCGCAGTTCTAACTGATCTTGCAGTCCGGCACATTATCCTTCAGCACCATATCCGGTGTTAATGGTTAAGTACCATTGAGTTGGTTCCGACCCATAGTGACTCTGTATAGGGTCTTTGAGGAGCAGCTGGTAAGCCTGAACTGCTGACCTTGTAATTCAAACCAACTTCTCAGTCCAGCACATTAGCCCACAGGTATATTAGCGTAGTGATTACGAATGGGGCTGCGAACCTCAGGGTCAGCAATTCGAAACTACCAGCTGTTCTGTGGGAGAAAGATGAGGCTTTCTGCTTCTGTAAAGATTTACAGCCTTGGAAACCCTGTACAGGGTCACTATGATTCGGGACCGACTCCACAGTACATAACAACAACAACAACAATATTAAATATACTTGTTCTAAGCTTGTTTGCCTTCTTCCAAGAACATTCACATACATCTTCCTAGGAGTATAGACCCCACTTCCACATCCCAGCCACTCCTGACTGTCAATGTCTTTAGCTAAAGGACTGCTGGCTCATCACTGGTGAGATCTGAACTTCGCCGTCGGCAGTTCCAAGGGAAGTTAAGCAATGATCGAAAAGTTGGTTTGTGTTTCCCCTCATGTCCAACCCATTTTTGAGAAATGTAGCAAGAGGGACTCATAAATAGCCTACCCGACTCTTGTAACAACGCTCAAGCTTTGGAAGTGTTTTCTGATATGCGAAGAATAAAAAATATCAGTAGCTAATATTTCGTAAAGGAGCTCTGGTAGTTTAGAGTTATGAGTCGGGCTGCTAACCTAAAGGTCAACAGTTCGAAACTGTCAGCCACTCCATGGAAGAATGATGAGGCTTCGTGTTCCCTAAAGATTCACAGCCTCAAAAACCCTATAGAGAATCGCGATGAGCTAGAACTGACTTCACAACACACTACTACTATTTCTTAAGCTCTGGTTTGTTGTTGTTGTTATGTGCCATGGAGTCGATTCTGACTCATAGCTACCCTGTACAGGGTTTCCGAGGCTGTAAATCTTTACGGGAGCAGAACGCCTCATCTTTCTCCCGCGGAACAGCTGGTTACATGCTATTAAATGAAATTCTCTGTCTCATTTTAATCCACACAAAAAATGATAATTCTGTAATTATCGGGTATGAGACCTAATGTTAGAGAACTTAACTTGCTGGAAACTCGTAGCTAATGGAGCTGGTATTGGAATCCCATGAGTTCTGACTCCAGAGTTCTTGCTTTCATCTTCTGTATTTCTTTGAGGAGAATCTTTAATGTGCCAGAGAAGGACTGAGTCACCCAGTGTGAGTATATGCGTCCATTCATTTGTGAACTATTCATTCATTCAGCAGCGTTTTTTGAACATTCACGGTATATACCATACCAGGTGCTGTGAAAATCCAGAACTTTAGCCAAATAGAAATCATTCCCTCATGGAATGTGTCTACCTGGGCAGAGGAGCTGTATAGAAATAACTGTAATATGAGGTATACGGTAATGAGACTTGTGAACCAGATTCTCATTTTTAAAAACATTCTTGGAGTTCAGAAAAGGGAAAGAATTTTTCCATCTGGGAAGGTGAAAAGGCTCAACCAAAGGTGGTATTTGCTTTGGTCTCTGATAGCTGGGAAAGATTTATACAAGAGACAGTAAATTTATGCATGAGAACATAGGGAGTGCTGGGCTGGTTCAGACTAAAAGCATACAGGAACAAAAACCCAGAGAATGGAAAACTAGAGAATATTATGCCATAAAAAGCAAGAAAAGAGAATCAAAAGAAAAGGTGGCTAAAAGGGGACATCATAAATTATGTTACTAACCCTCATCACTACACAGAATATGTGTCTTTATTTTATCATAGTGTTAATCTCATAAACAATGGAGCTTTAAAAAGTTCATGGAAAACTTCCATTATCTTTTAATTCCATTTTTCCACAATCTTGTTGAAGCCCCTGCATCTATTTTGTTCACAATTCTTCCTTCTAACATCTCGCCACACATGATATTCAAGTCAGTGTTTAATAACAACAACAAAAAATGTTACTTAGGTGTAGCCAAAATGTGTTCCTGTCGAAAGATTGAAATGTTTCTTAGTAAAGAAAGACTAAAGAGGATTCTGTATATCCAGAAAGTTTTCATTGAAAATCTATTATGTCCCAAACATGATACATGCTAACAATATTTTGAAAATAATATGCCATTTCTGCCCTGAAAAAACTCAGATGCAACTCAAGGAGACAAACATGCACGTAAGGAATTACCTGGTGCAAAGCGTTCTGTGATGGAGGAGTACCCCTGAAAGATTCCGAGTTGTGCCGGTAATACAGAGAGGCAGTAATCAGTTCTGAGGGTGGCAGTTAGGGAAAGCTTGCAGAAGAATAGACACATCGAAGCCAGTCTTTTCTATGCTTTTAAAGACAGATAGCTCCCATATTATTGTTCTAGAACACTTTTTTTTAAATTTAGCAATATATATCATATTATATATTATAAATAGCAAGTTTGCTTTTTGTAATCATTTTATAGCTATGACTGTTATAGTGTTCTACTGATAAATATTTGAGCTGTTTCTAATTACTTATTAATATGCACAATACTAAAAGTAACATATGTATACATTTAATAGAAATGCAAACTGCCCTTCAAAAATACATATATACACACACTTACATTGCAATCTCTGTAAGTAAATTCTTAGAAATGCACTTCCTTTATAGGCCAAAGGATATAAACATGTAATAGATACTGCCAAATTGTTCTTCAAAGTACTGTGCAGCAATGCCTTTTTCCAAAGCTGTACAAACCTTGGAGCTGTCTTTTTAAACTTTTCCAAATTAATGCAATAACACATTATTGCTTTGATTTGCATTTCTTTAAATACTAGTAAAGTTGAGTATACAAAGAAATATAAACTAAAGCAACCATGTAATGTTACATTAATTTGGAAAAGTTTAAAAAGACATTTCCAAGTTTTTTTTTAAATGTTTGTAAAGTTGCGCGTGGAGTCCTGGTGTGGTACTGTGGGTTATGCGCTGGACTGCAAGGTCGGTTTGAACCACAAGGTTAGTGGTTCCAGCTCACCTGAGGCTCCTTGGAAACTCTATACAGGGTCACTATGAGTCGGAACTGATTTCAGTGGCACTTACAATAACAGCAACAAAGTTGATTATCTTTTCAAGTTGACAAGTTCTTTGTATTTCTTCTGTGATCTAATTGCTGTCAGGATATATTATTTTTATCCTAATTCAACCTAGTAAGTTACCTTGTTAGGTTTCCTGGACTGCAGACAACTGGGTCAGAAACAAAGGAATGTGTTACACATGACATAACAAGTAGCATGAGAATCCACGGGTCCCTGAGCCTGACAGGTGGTGTCGAGGGACCCCAGGTAGATGCTACACACACAGCAGATATGGGTCTCCACTGATAAACAGCTTTACAGATGCAAGTTTGCTTTTGTCCTGGATAGAGAGACATTACCTCTTCTCTCATGGTTGCTTTCTGCAACCACAACCCTAAGAAATGGCCCCAGTAAACAGCAAACAAGGCTTTGCATTTTTGGCATACCCAGCAAGGTCATGCTCGGATGCTTGCAGGTTGCCTGTCCCGTTTTCTCATTGATTTATAAGAGGTCTCTACGATCGGAACAGTTACTCTTCGATCTGCCATTGAATGTTCCACCACCACCACCAGTTGATATCAACTTGATTTGACTCATGGAGCTCCATGTATGTCAGAGTTGAACTGGGCTCTATAGGGTTTTCAAAGGACAGTTTTTCAGAAGTAGATCGCGAGGCCTTTCTTCCTGAGACTCCTCTTGGTGAATGTGAACCATCAACCTTTCTGATAGTAGTCAAGTACCTCGCCCGTTTGTACTACCCATGGACTGCCATTGAATGGTACCTGTGTCTTATACTAGTTGCTTTTTTAAAATTTGATTTTATCAGTTGTGGGGTTTTCTTTGTTTTTGTTTTTCCCTTAAGTGGGTTTCATTTCACACATAGAAAAGGTGCTCTATTAGATGGTAAAAATGTTAACTGTTTTATTCTTATGTGCTTTTAATTTTTAGTCTTTGATGTTTTAATCCTTTGGAATTTACTTTCAGGTAATAAATAATTTAAGGACCCACTTTTGGTTTTATCAAATGGCTAGCCAGTTCTCACAATCTCATTTTTCCATGTTTTTCGTATTTGTTTGAAATGATACCTTCATTGCATACTAAATTGCTTTCTCTGCTGAAGGTTTTTTCTATTCTTCTAATCCATTTATATGTTGTTATTACTCCAGTCTTATTCTTTTAATTACTATGTTGTTGTTGTTGTGTGCCGTGGAGTCTGTCCCAACTCATAGCAACCCTGTACCGGGTTTCCGAGGCTGTAAATCTTTACGGGAGCAGGAAGCCTCATCTTTCTCTCGCGGAACAGCTGGTAGTTTTGAACTGCTGACCTTGCGGTTTACAGCCCGATTCGTAACCACTACACTACCAGAGCTCCTTTTAATTACGATAGCTTTATAATATATATAACGGCTATTAGAACTTGTTACCCCTTATTTTTTTCTTCTACTTAAAATTTCTTCACTGTTTTCACATTTTATTCTTGACTGGATCTTTTAAATAAAATAAAATTTTAAAGCAACAAAAGAAGTTCTAAACTATTCTCTTTTACAACATTACCTCTTTTTAAAGTCTTATTATTTTTAATACTTTTATGCTGGCTTAATTTGCATTTCAACAAATATAGAAGTATAGTTTTCATTTGCAGTTTCTAAAATCTTGTTTATTTCAACATAGGTTCCTTGTAGTTTGGAATACTGGGATGAACTACAGAAAGTTTTTGTTGCATTTCGAGAATTCAGTCTGTCAGAAAGCAAAGTTTGTGAACTGCAATTGCCGGATATCAATCTTGTGACTGATCAGAAGAAACTGGTGTCCTCAGATCTCTGGAGGATTGTCTTGAACAACAGTCAGAATGGAGCTGATGACCAAAGGTAACTATGAAATACTGGCTCACTAATAGGTACAGTGATGATGACAGGACAGTAATGGTAGGACGCGAACATGAAGGTATCTTTGCGTACTTGGGAGCCCTTCACCTGGCTGCATTTTAGCTGTCTAGTACTAATGGCATCTGAAGTACAAATGAGAACCAGGAACATAAAATCTGTTCTTTCAAAATCTTGCCTTTCACTCAGAACATAACCCTGTGGACCCTCACTAAAAACATGTTTCTTAAGTATAAGAAGAAAAAAATGTAAAAAACTAAAGCAATTTCAGTCACCTTGAACCAAAGAATAGAGAAAGAAGAAGCCCAATATACCTCAATAGACTTTTAAAAAAATGTTTTGTAATTTGGTAAAAATATAACAAAACATTTGCCACTTCAATATGTTTTACACATACAGTTCAATGACATTGATTATGTTTATCAGTTATGCAACCGTCACCACTCCCCATTTCTAAATTGTTAAGGGCCGTCGAGTTGGTTCTGACTCATGGTGATCCTGTATAGGATTTCCCAGGAGTGGATTTGAACAGCTAACCTTGCAGTTAGCAATCCAGTGCCTAACTTACAGCACCACAGCAGGACTCTAGTTCTAAATGATTCTACCACTTTTAACAGAAACTCAGTGCCCCCCTAAGCAATGGCATCCCCTTCTTGCTCACTCTCACCCCTGGTGATGACTAATAAACTTTAGTCTCTGCATTTCCATATTCTAGACATTCATAAAAGTGGCATCATACAATCTTTGTTCCTTTGTGACTTACTTATTTCACTTAGCATAATGTTTTCAAGGTTCAGCATGATTAGAACACCATTTCTCTTAGTAGCTGAGTAACATGTTATTGTATGTCTATACCACATTTACTTTATCCATTCATCTGTTGGTGGCCATATGTTTCTACCATTTGCCTATTCTGACTAGAGCTGCAGTAAGCACTGTTTGCATTACTGCTTTTCACTTCTGTTGGGGTATATACCTAAGATTGTATGTATTCCATGGTTGTTGTTGTTGTTGTTAAGTGCCGTCAAGTAAGTTCCAACCCATAACTACCCTCTATAGGGTTTCTGAGGAACAGCTGGTGAGCTTGAACCGCCAACCTTGCAGTTCAAATGGCTTTGCAGTCTGGCGCATTAACCCATAGCGTCAAACCAGGACTCCATTCCATGGTAATGCTCAGTTTAATTTTTTGAGGAATTGCTGAACTTTTCCACAGTTGTACCATTTTGCACATCCAACCAGCAATGGATTAGTTGAGTGTTGGGTTTCTCCGTAGCCTCATCAGTACTTAAGATTTTCCATTTTTAATAGCCATCCTGGTGGGCATGAGGTGGTGTCTTACTGTGGTTTTGATTTTTCATTTCCCTAATGATGTTGAACCCAGGATAGACACTGGACTGCTAACCGCAAGGTCAGCAGTTCAAACCCACCGTAGACTCTCAGAAACCCTATATATGGAGGCGATGAGTCAGAACTATCTCAATGACATACAGCGGCAACAACGATGATGCTTAAAATGAGTCCTCATGGGACAGTGAGCTAAGCATTGGTCTGCTAACCAAAAGGTCAGCAGTTCGAACCTACCAGCTACTCTGTGGAAGAAAAACGAGGCAACCAGCTAATGTAAATATTTACAGCTTCAGCAACCCTATGGGGCAGTTCTACTCTGACCTGTAAAGGACTCTATGAGTTGGAATCAACTTGATGGCAGTGGGTTTGTTACGCGTGTGGGATCTTGCTGTACAATTCAGTAACATCGATTTTGTTCAGCTTATGCAACCAAAACACCGGTCCATTTCTTTTTAGACATTTGTGTAACTTCTGTGGTGAAATGTCTGTTTAAGTTCTTCACCCATTTTTTTGATTGGATTGTTTGTCTTTTTGTTGTTACGTTGTAAGAGTTCATTATATAGTCTGCTTATTAGATCCAGGTCAGATACATGGTTTCCCAAAATTTTCTTCCATATTCTGATTTCCCTCTCTAATTTTTTGGATAACTCAGGCTCTTCTGTTTTCTTTTCTTTTCTTTTTTTTTTAAACTTGTTATTGTGAACTGAGTGAAGGTTTACAGACAAGATCATCAGTTTCACATTCAGCAAATCATGCACTTTGTTTCATCTCCATAATTGCAGTCCCCTCCATGGAACAACAGTTGTCCTGCTTCTTCCCTGTGGTAGTGGTTATTGTTAAGTGCTGTCAAGTCACTTCCAACTCAGAGTGACCCGATGTAGGGTTTCCATGGAGCATCTGGTGAGTTTGAACCACTGATCTTGCAGTTCAAACCAACCTTTGACTCAGTGCTTCTCGTACAGCACCACACCAGGACTCATTCAACCTACACCCATTCAACCTCGGTCTCTGTCCACACTAGAACACTGGTGTTTAAGGTTGTATATGTATCATTAGGTACCTCTATCTCCTTTAGCCCTTGCATACCTCCTTGTGTCTTCACCTGTCTTCATCATTCTTCTGCCAACCTCCCTCTTCTTGTATATTGGCCTCCACTTCTTGTATATTGCCCTTCCCGTCACCAGAGTAACATGAATCAGGTTGCTAACTTCAAGGTCAGCAGTTTGAAACTACCAGCCATTCCATGGGAGAAAGGTGAGGCTTTCTGCTGCCTTAAAGATTTGCAGCCTCAGAAACCCTGTGCAGGATCACTAGGAGTCAGAACCAATGCCACGGTACTTAACAACAACAACAACCCGCTAGTCAGTGAATTACTCTCCCTTCCTTCTCAACCCCAGCTTACCATCAAAGATTATTTTAGCATGAAAACCTGTTCTTGAGTTTTTACAATATTGGTGTCATACAGTGTTTGCCCTTTTGTGCTTGACTTATTTCATTCAGCATAATGTCCTCCAGGTTCATCCATGTTGAGGTGTTTTGCAGATTCATCATTATTCTTCAACATTACATAGTATTCCATTGTGTGTACCAAAGTTTGTTTATCCACTCTTCCAGTGGTTGGCATTTAGGCTGTCTCCATCTTTTTGCTATTCTGAATAGTGCTGTAGTGAACATCAGTGTATATATGTCTACTCATACCCTGGCTTTTATTTCTTGTGGATATATACCAAGTATATATTGGTAGATTTCCAATTGGTATATAACCAAGAGATTGCTGGGTCATACGGCATTTCTGTTTCCAACTTTTTGAGGATGCACCATAACATTTTCCACAGTGGTTGAACCATTTTCTGTCCCACCAGCAATATAGGAGGGTCATAGTTTCTCCACACCCTCTCCAGCATTTGTTGTTTTCTGTTTGTTTGTTTTTTAAACTTTGCTATTAATGCTCGAGTGAGATGATATCTCTTTATTGTTTTAATTTGCATCTCTCCAATGGCTAATGGGAGTCCTGGTGTGGTGCTGTGGGTTAATGCACTGGATGGCAAAGTTACTTTGAATCGCAAGGTCAGCAGTTCAAGTTCTCCAGCTGTTCCTCAGAAACCCTATACAGAATCACTGTGGGTCAGAACTGACTTGATGGCGCTTAACAACAACAGCAGTGGCTAATGATCATGAACATCTCTTCATATGTTTGTTAAATGCCTGAATGTCTTCTTTGGTGAAGTGTCTATTCATATCCTATGTCCATTTTTTAATTGGGTTGTTTGTCTTTTTCTTGTATTGTATTGTAGCTTTTTATAAGTTTTAGAGATTTGTCCCTTTTCTGATAATGTTGTAAAAAAAAATTATTCCCAGTTTGTTGGCTCCTGTTTTACTCTTTTGGTGAATTTTTTATATATACATAAGTGTCTAATTTTTAGGAGGTCTCAGTCATATATTTTGTATCCTACTGTTTGTGTGTTTTTAGTAATGTTTGATAGTGTATTTATGCTATGTGCTAGAGCCCTTAAGTTTGGCCTTATTTATTAATGGATGGTCTTTATAGTCTAGGTTTTAAATTTAGGTCTTTAATCAATGTTCAGTTTGTTTTTGTATATGTTGTGAGGTATGACTGTTGTTTTCATTGTTCTACAAATGGATTTCTAGTTTTGCCAGCACCATTTGTTGAAGAGCCTCTTCCCCATTTAATGGGGCCCTTGTCAAAGATCAGTTGACTGCATGTGAATGGATTTATTTCTGGTTTCTCAGTTCTGTTCCATTGATCTATGTACCTATTGTTGTATAAGTACCGGGCTGTTTTGACCACACACTATGGCTGTGTAGTAGATTTTGAGATCAGGGAGTGACAGGTCTGCAACTTTGTTCCTATTAAGCAGTGCTTTGCTTTCCCAAGGTTTCTTTCCTTCCCATGTAAAGCTTGTGATCATTTTCTCCATCTCCTTAAAGAATAATGCTGGACTCTATTTTGGGATTGTGTTATATCTATAGATTGCTTTGAGTAGTATAAACGTTTTCAAAATGTTAAGTCTTCGGATCCATTAGGATAGTATATTCTTCTATTTTTATAGGGTTTTTTGGTAGTTTTTTTGTGTAGGTCTTTTGTCTCTCTGGTTAGATTTGTTTCTAAATACTTAATCTTTAGAGTGTCTATTGTAAATGGTATTGTTTTCCTAATCTCCTTTTCAGTAACTCATAGATACTTAATAACACAGTAATCAATATGTATATTGAGCCATTTAAAGCAAAGGTTAAATAAACTGAATTTTCTCCTTTTAAAAAGGTAAATTTGGACGTGTTTTTCATTAAAAAAATTTTTTTTTAACTTTAAAAAAGAAACTGCCAAATATTAGGAAAATTTTTTTGTTATTGTTGAGTGAATTTCAACTCATGGTGACACCGTAGAGTAGAACTGTTCCCTAGGTTTTCTGTTTGGTTTTTTTCCTAACTTTTTCTTTTCATAAACTGAGTGAAGGTTTACAGACAAGATCATCAGTTTTACATTCAACAAACCATACACTTTGTTTTCTCTTAATGATTGCATTCCCCTCCATGGAACAATACTCATCCCACTTCCTCCTTGTGGTTCCCATTCCCATCCTACCCTCCTTCCCATCCATTCCCAACTTTGTCCTTCG